ATGTAACTTTTTTTTTCTGGCAGGTTTTTTAGATCTATCGAATGAGCGGTATAAAAATAAGCGATTTTTGTCAGTAATCAATAACGTTATTTTTTGCTCATATATATTTTTACTTGATTTACTTGCCCGTAATTTATTTTTAAAGTAATTTGCTATTTTATTTAACGGAAACTGTGAAAACGAATTTTTATTGCGAAGCAATGAGGCTGTGCCTCTACTTACTACGAATTTTTGTATTTAGGAACGAAAAATGAGCAATAATGACACCACCACCCCTACGGCTAATGATACCACCACCACCACCCCCACGACTAATAACACCACCATCACCACCACATATGACACTACCACTCCCACAACTAATAACCCAACGCCATCTACACTAAACCCCGTGGATATTACTCTAACTAGTAAGAAAACTTTTTTTTCGCCTTCTCGCAATCTTTGTTTAAAAACAAAGGACTAGGTGATCACCTTCGGTGTACCCAGAGCCTGAGCAAAAGGCGATAACTTGTTTTTCTTTTTTCGAGCTTGCGAGAGTGAAACAAAAATATATTTTTTAGAATTAAGTTTTTTATTTCATTAATATTAGGAAAGCATGAAGAAATACGAAAAGATGGAACAAAGACAACTGATACTTTAAGTTTGAAAACAAGATCTAATGGTGGATCATCGATAGATTTTAATAAACTCCAAAAATTGTTAACCAAAAAATAAATATAATTTCTTTATTTGTATATTGTCATTCCGGCAAAAAATTTATTAAATAAAGAAGGGGGGTCCCATGCCCTTACCATTTTTTATACAATGTAATTTGCGATTATTAATTAGTGGAGACGTGAAAAAATCTGATCCCGGCTTAATATGCGTAGATTGGACGATCTGATTTTCCATAAGTTTCACCGGTATTTAAATTATAGTAATAACCTTCATCATCATCATAATCAGAAAGTATTGTGTCCATATCATTTATCTTGTTCTCGTCATAAGAATAATCGGGTATACTTACTGAAGAATTAGAGACATGGGTTAATGATATTGATGTACTTGCCTTAGCTGAAACCAAGCTATTCGCTTGTGCCTCCGATGCATTAGTCTGATCATCCGAAATCTCCCCTTCGGAATCGATGATAGAGTCATCTTGGTCACCTGGTAATTCAGTGTTGAGATTTTTAGAGAAATAATCAATAATAGTTTGAATTTGACTATCAGATAATTCTGCAATAGAATTCGCATTATATGTTTTGATATACTTGATTTTATCAATTCCTATTTTTTCGGTAAACTCGTAAACCTTCCTGGCTCTACTGATGCGTTGATATAAAGTTTTTCGTTTGGTGTCAGGATTGTGTGCAAGAATAAAATCGTAAATCAGTCCTTTGACTTTTTTCATACCCACCTTTTCTTTGATCAAAATTTCATCTACACTTTTATCTAGTCCTATAATAAAACTTCTCCAGCACAAAATTTCCGCCTGATTAGCCTTTACTCTTTCATTTTCCGCAGTACATGCATTTTCATATAAGCGGTTTATATTTTGCAATACATCTGAACTTGATGATTCTGCTAGATCCCCCTGGGACTCTATCTTTTCTTGGCAATTATTTTCCTCACGGCCCGTCAGCGAAATTTCCGTCATGTGATTTTTCTCGAACCCATCCATAGTAAAATCAAATATATCCTGCACGATATTTTCCGCTTCTTTCTTCTTATGTGATCGAGATTCTTTGTCCTGAGTTACAGAAGAGGCGGGTCCCTTTGGGAGGTCACAAAGTGACCGGACATCCCTAGATAAGTCCTTGGTAGACGATTCACGCAATAATTTCTTTTCCCTGTTCCTCTGCCTAATCTCATTACTAACCTTTTTCTTATGCACTTCATCTAAGAAAGAATCCGTTTTCTTATCTTCCGATGACTTGATGTCCGCGTTATTATTAGGTGCTGATATCTCTGGTAACACCTCTGGTATCGCTTCCTTATCATTCTGTTCCACTATCGCTAGCCTAGCCTCTAATTTCTTTACCTTGGCATCGCGCCTCTCATTATTTTCCTCATTCGCTATTAGAGCCTCGGCATTCCTGCGCTTAAGTTCAGCTATTTCAGCATCAAAAGAGCTTGTTTCTAAGATCGGGGATCTCAGTATTCTCCTTCCTAAGCTCTGCATTCTCAGCCTTAAGCTTGGCGTTCTTAGCTTCAAGTTCAGTGATACGCTGTTTCAATACTTCAAGCTCAGATGGGCTAACTTCGTTAACTAACATGATCAATATAAAACTAATACACTGATATATAAGCATTCAAAATAAAAAATATTATGTGATTTTTCCTCACGGCCCGTCAGCGAAAAATTTTTATTAATACAACTATCTTTTCGCAATACTTGCTCAAAGACAGAAAGTTGGAAATCAATATGTGTACTTAATCTGAGCAAAGATGATCACCTACTTTCTGGCTTCGAGTGATAAAATCACGAGAAGGCGGGATACATGCGAAAAATAAATACAAATGTTTGGGACCTAGACCGTGATACATAACGTCTATACTATTTCTGCGGACTAATGTCTGCATGAAAAATTTCACGCTCTATCACCCCTTTTTTCTCTCAAGTTCGAAAAAAGATATATAGTTAACTCACCCTCTTCTGCTCAGGTATGTGTATACTAGGCGCCCTCCTAATATATCTGGCTTCGAGCAAAAATTGTGAGACGGGAAAAATTCTCGATCATATGCGAGTTATACATCGATAAATAAATTCACGAAATACATATGCAAAGGTAAACTGATTATATGTATATGAAATCAGCCACTGGGCCAGCTTTATTATATAAAAATAAAATGTACAATATGCTATTCTATATAAAGTAAATTTACAGCGCTTTATTTTTTTGATTCAATGCCCTGCAAATTTACAATGAGTCCATTCTAAAAATTATGAATTTCATCAGTGATGCTAAATACGTGCTTCTATCAGTATGAACCTTAACTTATTCTTACCTTCGGTTTTTGGGGAGATCTGTACTCTTTCTCTCTAACAGGCATTATCATTCTTCCGGGAGCAAGTTTTTCCTTCTCAGCTCTTTTTTTAATAAGTTTAAATCGAGTAATAGTAGTGGATAGTAATTTCTGCAAAAAAAACAACGCATGTAAACGTAAGTCATACTTTAAGAGGACTCTGAAGATGCTACTAACCTTGACTTGAAGCATTATACGGGATATCTCAATAACTGACTTTAGCTCCTCGTATTTTGTTGGTATGTCGAAATCGGCTAAATTAATCGATGCGTAATAGCCTCCTCCTACATATATAACTAGGATAGCACGCAAAATAAAGTAAGAAGACAAAAAACCGGGCATAAGAAGCTTTGTGATAGACTGCAGAACCGGCTTCGAAAGCATTCCATCGCCTCCTGTATATATTACTTCAGTTAGAGATCGGTGCATGTCTCGTAGAATCTTTTGTCCTTTTAAGTTATTCGAAATAACCTTGCGTTTGTTTTCAACTTTGGAACCGGCACGTTCGCAAATTGAAAATTCACGACCCCAACTTAAGTCCTTTCCTAAATCGTGTCGCTATAGATTTAAGTTAGTAAATGTTCTGATAATAACAATGAACCCTTTGAGAATTTACCATACCGTAAACATCCAGTCGAGGTGGTATCCTTCCGCATTACTCGGAGCATCTACCGCATTTGCTCGGCGATCTCGTGAAGCTCTTGATACCACCTCACCGCTTATTTAAGAAAATTATTAAGCATAATTACAAACAATAAAAATATTTGAGAACAATAATGGAACTTACAAATGACTATCCAAAATGTCATCGAAACATGAAAAAATATGACGTTTAATAAAAATATCAATGTCCCGCTCCGAATTTTGTCTATTGGGGATCCCTTTCGCAATCATCTCACACCTGATGGAAATTGAAGTAAAAGTATATGAAGTTGCATGTATAGTTAAACGCTGAACTATCAAATGAACCTACGTATATCTAATCAAGTCAAAAATGTACGCGACATCTGGATCCAGATGATCATTATGATCAAGTAGTGAGATCTCTTCGGGAAAAATTTTAATATCTTCGTCGATATATCCATCATAAAATAGATCGTCAGCTTCTAAGATAATTGGATTCCTAGTACTTGTCATTTCTTGGAGTCTAAGAATTGCACCGTGTGTTCCCTTCGGTCTTACGGATTCTCCAATTGTACGAAGCTGATAACTGTCGAGCTGGAAACCAAAAGAAATGTTAACCCAAAAGAATTGAGACGCTTAAATCGTCATTATTCACCTTTGAAAGAGACTTCAGACATTTTTCCGCTGAAGGTTCCAACACGGTCCAATCTTTTAATGCAGATGAAAACATCGCGTTCAGATCTGATAGATCTGATTCTGAAAGAAGGTCTACAATTTTCGGATCTGACAAGTCTATAATCTTCCACCAAATTGATCTGAGGAGAGAACTTCGTTAGAACCTACCAACATCAAGAAAAATGGAACCAGTATTTGCCCAACATTTACTTTAAAGATGATTTATATGTAGTTATTGGATCATCTTTTGAGATTAACAGACAACGTTCCTCTATCAATCTTTTTAGCCAACTTGGCTGTGGTGTATCAAACTCCCATCCTTCATCATCTGTAACCTCTGCAACCTGTGCATAAATATGAAAGATGAGAAGACATTTTGTTGTGGGATATATATTAAAACTACCTTTTCTTCTGGAGTTTGCGATGGCCCGTTTTCTGTTTGGAGACATTGACGTTTGTGCGAAGCACCACTAGCTCGATCCTCAGGATATCGTTTATTAACAGCGGAAATCACTTCATCTGAACTACGAAACCTTGCTTCATTGAGAACTCTTACGCCTTCTATTACGTAGTTTTTTCCGGCATTTCTCTGTTTTGGACAGGATAAGGAACATAGTCAATAAAAACAAATATTTTTTGATATATTTCATGTAAGAGTATTAATGCAAACTAGGCTAACCTTTTCACGTTCAAGAATAATGTTTTGGAAAAATGATTCCATTCGAGGTTTATTTGGTTTATTTGTTCCATCCTATTAATGAACCGCAACGAGAGAGCACCGAAAACTTCAGCAAAACCTCTGGATCGCACTATATCAAAATATAACCACAACACAACTTCCAGATCGCACTATATAAAAATATAGCTACAACCCGGAACTTCCGGGTCGCATTACATCAAATGTAACTACAACCCAGAATCTCGTATCGCACTATATTATAAATATAACTACGGCCCAGAAGCGCTCCATACTCATCACTTGGGTACCGAAAACTACGGCAAAACCTCTGGATCGCACTATACCAAAAAGTATAACTACAACCCAGAAGCCACCCTTGATACTGATAAAGCTTTTTGGGAGTTTAGCAAATTTTGTGTGTAGCACAAAACCTTTCCTTACCTTATTGGCATGATAAGTGTATCGACCGTACCACGCACCGTCTAAACCGCTCCAGTCGTTAGTATATGGTGGCGAAGTTATAATCGTTTCTTTTAATTCATTTAAAAAATGTTCGTAAGTCCATGTTTCTTCATCGTAAGTTTCGAAATATTTTAAAACAGCTGGAAAACCAGTATAGCAAAAATAGGGTGAATCAGTCCACTGTCGAAAAGCAAGTTTGCAAGTTTGAGAGCTTACCTTCATTCCCAATGTAGGGTTCCATTTTTTTTTTCGTTTCGATTCAGCTAGAGTTTGTAAGTATAGATTTGGTCGCGTAAACATCAGGAGTTGGATCGGCATGGAAGATGTATATGTTACTCTCAATCCCGTGACAACAAATAAAAAAATGATTTACTTTTTTGATGCACTGCATAAAAATGCTAGAGAATGTATGATGTAATTCGGGGATTAGCAATGCAATATTATCACTCTTATTTTTATAACAATCCACCCGCCTCGTATAGAAATTCGTTGCCTAATGTGTTAAGATATTTCGATTTTTTTTTTAACTCAAGTACGATTCTGCGCCAAACATCGCTTGATATACAGTCATCTCTAGTATTTAACTGCGCCGATGAGGCACGTGTTGACGATCACGATTTTCTCGGCGAATATCAAATATGTCAGGAATGGTAATATGTCCGCTTTGTCTTTAAGCATCTATATAGCCGGAAAATTTGATTATCGTGATGATGTTCTTTTAGAATCTAGCCAAGCAATAAAACTATTATAACTTTAATACTGTATTATAGTACAGATAAATTTACACGTATGAGGAATTTATCCTAACACGTTAATGACAATTTATTCGAGAATTATCACATTCACATTGCCTATTTAATCCATCCGCTACTTTTTTGCATGTTTTGCAATATAGGTGTGGATGGTGATTGCATTCGTCACAAACCTTACACCCGTACTTCCATCCTCTAAAGATATGCCATTTATTTGTATACATGT